TCCCTCCCCTCGCCAGCTCTGTCGGAGCAGCCCGTGGTGGACACAGCCACCGCAACGGAGCAGGCAAAGCAGCTGGTGAAGTCGGGAGCCATCAGTGCCATCAAGGCTGAGACCAAGAACTCAGGCTTCAAGCGTTCTCGAACCCTAGAGGGAAAGTTAAAAGTAAGCACAAGCAGAAAGCTAGTTCAGGGACCCTTCACTCGGGGGGCATCCCTCCACGCTGGGATGGAGGCAGGTTGAGGGGAAAAGGAACGCCTGCTCGATCCTGGGCAAATGGTCTGCCACTCCGAGCGAAGACAGTGGTGACTCCCGAGTTCTGCACTTTGCAGTCTGGCTCCAGTCCATGTGTGAGAGCGCTTGGCTTGTGTTGTTCTCAGGAGGTGAGCCGGCTGAAATGTTAGCAGGCTCAAGAAATGTTGAGATACACTAAGTACTTTACGGGTATATTAGGGTCACTTATTTTGAAATACCACATAATCAAATAAGAAAAGGACAGCCCTGACCAGTTTGGCTCAGTGGATAGAGCATCGGCCTGCCGACTGAAAGGTCCCGGGTTCGATTCCGGTCAAGGGCCTGTGCCTTGGTTGCGGGCACATTCCCAGTAGGGGGTGTGCAGGAGGCAGCTGATCGATGTTTCTAACTCTCTATCCCCCTCCCTTCCTCTCTAAAAAATCAATATAATATATTTTTTTAAAAAGAAAGAAAAGTACAAAGTTATTAAAAGGAAAAAAGGCCAGCAGAGGCGAGAAGCGGGGAGGGAAGAGGAATCCCCTCCTCTGTCCCATGGCTGGCCGCCTCCTGCTCCCACTCTAAGGTAGGTCTCTACCACCTTCCAGGACCCTGAGAAGGGGCCGGCCCCCACCTTCCAGCCCTTCCAGAGGAGCGTATCTGCCGATGACGACCTGCAGGAGGTAACGGCTCCCCTCCTCTGTCCCTGAGGGACCCACTGCCTGAAACTAGGGGGCCTCCACACTGAAACGTGGTCTCCTTTTCAGTCGTCCAGACGCCCCCAGAGGAAGTCCCTGTACGAGAGGTGAGCCAGTTAGAAACAGGACTGGGTCCCGGTGGGTGGGGGGGCTGCCAGGTCCTTGGAAGGTGTGGGGCTGGAGGGGGAGGAGCTGGGCTCCAGAGCAAGTGTTGAGTCTCTACAGGGTCTTGAAAGACAAGGTAAAGGCCCCTTTTGATCCTCACTGTCTGCCTCCCCTAGCTTTGTTTCCTCTAGTGACCGGCTTCGGGACCTGGGGCCAGATGGGGAGGAGGCAGAGGGCCCAGGGGCTGGTGACGGCCCTCCACGAAGCTTTGAATGGGGCTACGAAGAACGTGGTAACGCCCGCTCCTCAGTCTCCCCTCCCCGAAGCCGCAGCCGGGACCGCAGTCGTGAGCGGAACCGGGACAGAGAACGGGAACGGGACCGAGAACGGGACCGGGAGCGAGAACGGGACCGGGACCGAGAACGGGACCGGGACCGAGAACGGGACCGGGAGGGCCCTTTCCGCAGTGAGTGGGCGTGGCTAGTGGGGAAAGTGGCCTCCGCGAGGATTGAGGTGGCTCCAGCTCACGTGGAGGGTGACACAGGGTCCGTCTGTGATCCCACAGGGTCGGACTCGTTCCCTGAACGCCGGGCCCCTCGGAAGGGGAACACTCTCTACGTGTACGGGGAAGACATGACGCCCACCCTCCTCCGTGGGGCCTTCTCCCCCTTTGGAAACATCATTGACCTCTCCATGGACCCGCCCAGAAAGTAAGGAGGACGTCGGGGGTGCGGCCTCGGCCAGCCCGTCCCCCGCAGCCTGTAGCATCGGGCTCGGCTGCATTAAGAAGAGCCCGCGTCCCTCTACTGACCCTGTCTCCTCTCATCCAGCTGTGCCTTCGTCACCTATGAAAAGATGGAGTCGGCAGATCAGGCCGTTGCTGAGGTGGGACTTCCCAGATCGTTCCTCCCACCCTCCTGCCGTCCTCCTGTTTTCTCTAAAGTACTGAGACCCCCTCCCCACTCACAGCAAACCTCATGTCCTCAGATCCCGGCTCAGGCCACTGCTAGGATGGCAGCCCGTGGAAATTCTCCTTTGGTTTGTCTGTAATGTGTCCCCATCCTCTGCCCCTCCCCTCTCTGCCCCAGCTCAACGGGACGCAGGTGGAGTCCGTGCAGCTCAAGGTCAGCATTGCCCGCAAACAGCCCATGCTGGATGCCGCCACTGGCAAGTCTGTGTGGGGCTCCCTCGGTAAGAACGAGGTTCTTCCTCATCCTGCCCACCGCTCACCCCTTCTTCTGGTTCCCCTGCATGCCCTGGGTTCCCTGGAGGCCTGGGTGTGTGGGGGGCTGTGAGAATGGGAAGGAGAGTGGTCAGGCCCTCTGTCAGTTGGAAGTAGGAGAAAGAAGAGAAAATGGTTGAAAATAACTGTAACTGGAGCAGGGTCAGGTTCATGAGGAAGATGAGCAGCTTGTGGCCTTGTCCATTTTGAGGTGAAGTGTAGTTGGTTTTGGAATAGGAACTGGAACTCAGGCACGAGGTGAGAAACAAAGACAGATTGTCACCTGTATCTCGGGGTGGCTAAAATGATAGTTTCATTGGGGAGACTGACTTCTGGAGAAAAAAATGGCCCAGGACTGGGCATGGGTAATATTCAGAGAATATGGTGGAAGCAGGGCTCTGTTCCCCATGCCCCGCTCATCCCAGCTCTCCTGACATGTTAGGCCGGGGTTGATGCAGCAACGGAGACAGCAGGAAGGGTCAGGGCCATTGAAGCCAGAGGCCACCCGCTTTGAGAAAGGGCATGTCCGCATTGCCGGAGTACAGAGACCCCAAAGACTGGGAGCTGCTGTCGGGGGATCACTAGCTCCAGAGTGACGGGGATGTAGTCCTTGGCGATGGGGTGAGGAGAGGGACGCACTGGGAACAGGGAGGAACAAGGAAGGGAAGGAAAGCTCGAGGCTCAAGGGAGAATGCTCTGGCCACAGCTACCCCCAGAGTGAGTTCTGTCGGGCGAGTAGCACTTCTCATTTTAGCAGAAATAGATTTTCCTGGCAAAGGAGTGGGGAGAACAGGGCTTCAGAGCAAGAGTGACCTTCCAGATGAAAGGAAGGCTCAGAAAAGACCAGCATGTCAACAAAGGGCTATAGAGATTTTCTCGTTTTTAACTTTTTAAAAAATATTAATTTCATAGAGGAAGGGAGAGGGAGAGAGATGGAAACATCAATGATGAGAGAGAATCACTGATTGGCTGCCTCCTGCACGTCTTGCACTGGAGATCGAGCCCGCAGCCCAGGCGTGTGCCCTGACCAGGAACCAAACTGTGACCTCCTGGTTCATAGGTCAGCGCTCAGCCACTGAGCACACTGGGCCAGGATAGTTTTAATTTTTGATATATTGACTCAGAGCTGTAGTACGCACCATTCAGGTGTGTCAATAATAACATTGGCTGTTTTTCTAAGAACCAACCATTTGTTAACAGTATCTCCCTGTGGTAACAGCATACTGCTCACTGCTTGCTGGGGTGTTGTGATGGTTTGGCAGCCACTGGGAGACAGGCCGTCCCGGCCACCGGAGGGCAGCATAGAACAGCTTCCAGGACCAGAGGCCAGGAGTGGGGTCAGACTCCCTGTGGGGTCTCACCAATGCTCTCCTTCAGGCCTTAACTAATCCTTTCCTCCCTCCCTAGCCGTCCAGAACAGTCCTAAGGGCTGCCATCGGGACAAAAGGACCCAGATTGTCTACAATGACGATGTCTACAAGGAAAACCTTGTGGATGGCTTCTAGGTGGCGGAGCTGAACTGCTTGTGCCCCGCCTGCCCGACACTAGTCTCAGTAAAGCACTGAGGTGGAAGCTCACACATCTCCCTCAGCCTCTGGTTTCTCAGCACGGGATTGGGTTGAGCCTTTTACAACGGCCGTTAGCTTGGATCTCATTTGTGGCAAGATGGCCAGTGCGCCTCCCCCACTCCCTTACCCCCAAGGATGTGAACGCAGGTGTTGTCACAGCTCTTTTAATTGGATCCCATGCCCCTTCCCAGCAGGAAACCCCTATAGAAAATGCTCCTCGTCACGGAGTTTCTCCTTGAGCCAGGGCAGCACTTGGAAGAGGTTGATGTGAAAGTCTCGGGCGTGAGCAGGCACCTGGTGCTGCAGTCTCCTGTCTTTGCAGACATCCACGACTCCCCAGCTGATCACACCAACCTGCAGGGGCGCGGGGTGCCATGGGTCATCTGGTAGAATTTCTCCTGCACCTCAGGAAGCACAGCTGCTCCCATTGCACCTGCACTGCCCTGGGAGAAATAGACTAGGAACCCACTCAGTCCCGTCCTCCGCAGCAGCCAGGCCACACCGTGGTCCTGAGCCCGCCGGTCCAGGGGTCGTCCTAAGGCGAGGCGGCTCTGCCCTCCCCTTTCTGGCCACATCTGTTGACCTTTCCGGCTTTGGGGCCCGTGCTGACCACTTGGCGTCTCCCCCGGCTGGGAAAGGAGAGACTTACTTGAATGAAGCGACTCCTCTTGTGAATAATCAGGGGGCCACCAGAATCACCTACAGGGGAGGAGAAGCTGCAGCGAACCTCCGGGGCCTCAGGAACTTGCAGCTCCACCAAAGAGCCTTTTCTCACCTTTGCAAGTGTTGGGGTCAGCATAGGGATCCACCCCTCCGGTGCAAAGGAACCTGGGGGTGACCACCTCCGAGATGTCCTTGACTTTACCATAGCCCGGGGCCTTCTGAGCGTCTCTCTCACACGCGGCTTTCTGTGGGCGGGGAGAAAGGGATGAGCCAGCTCTCTCGGGAGCGGCCGAGAGCCCCCGTAGGCCCGCGGTGCTCACCTTATCCCCATTCTTGATGTGGACCTCCTTCCGAATCAGCTTCCCGCCCTTGAGCAACTCGGACACAAACAGAGCTTTGACGTCCTTGGCCGGGAGCAGCTCTTCCACTGGACAGAGGGGCGGACGGGGTCATTTCAGCACTCCCCCACCCCACCCCCATCTCCGCAGCTCCCTCAGGCAGGCGCCTCCTCAGCGACCCTCACGCCCCACTTGTCTCTTGGACTCTTACCCTAGTGCTCCTCTCCCTGAACATGTCTTACTCTGTTTCTGGCAACTGGTTGACAGTGGAAGCCTCAAAGCTTGATTGGTGGCCACAGTGCAAGGGAGACAGATGGGCCTGTTCAGGAGAGGTAGGGAACAGATGGCAAACTGCACCCCAGGCCTGCAGCCCCACCTCTCAGTCTCCTCGGGGAGCCCGACGCCTGACCTGAGCGTCTTGCTGTACTGCAGCTTCTCCTTGAGCTTGATCAGGGCCACGTCATAGTCATAAAATTCCGGAATTCCTTCTGCTTTTTTCCCATTGATGTTGTACTTGGGGTGAAATAGAACTTGTTCTATGTGCAAGTCCTGCTTCTTTCCTCCTAAGGTCAGAGGAGAGAGGACCTCTGGGCCACCCACTTCTCCGGGCAGCCTCCTGCCTCTGGCCCCGGGCCTTCCCTCTGCTTCAGCATAGAAAGCAGGGGCGGGGTCTTTCTCTGCTGAGGGCCATTGGGGTATTTATAACATCATCCATGGGCCATACAAAATTATCAAATTAAAAATTAGCATGCTAGGCCTTAGCTGGTTTGGCTCAGTGGGTGGAGCACTGGCCCGTGAATTGAAGGGTCTAGGTTGGATTCCGGTCAAGGGCATGTACCTTGGTTGCAGGCTTGATCCCCAGCCCCTGGGAGGCAACCAATTGATGTGTCTCACATCAATGTTTCTCTGTCTCTCCCCTTCCCTTTCACTCTGTCTTAAAAAATCAGTGGAAAAAATGTCCTCAGGTGAAGATTAACACAAAAACAGCTTGCTGTCTTTGGTCAAATATTTAACTCCTCTCTAATGTCTTGGCGGGGCCAGACCAAATGATTCTGTGGGCCTTATATGGTCCATGGGCCAGACGTTCACCGCCCCTGGTGTAAAGGAACGAGCTACGTTGAGGGTGGGTGGACTGAGCTCGAAGTGGGAGGTGTTAGCTGGAGGGTGGAGCTCAGAATTGATCCACTGCATCATCCTTACCCACGTTGACCTTGATCCAGTGTAGCTGGTCCTCCACTGTGAAGCAGTGTGCCGCTGTCAGCACAAAGTACGGGGACACCACAGCCCCCATGCAGTTCTCATGTGCGTTCGGAGGGCGCTGGTAATAATGGCGGAGGGGAAGCTCTTTCACCAACTGAATCCTAGCATGGGCCCTGCCCGTGCCCTACGCCCACTTCACCCTGCCCTCCCCCCCAGGACGCCATGCTTACGGTGACTGAGATCTTGGCCTGCCATGGTTGCTTGTGGTAATCGGTAGCATCCTTGTGCTCCCAGACCATGCCGCAAAGACCCAGAGTCTGGCTTTCATCTAGAAAGAAAGGAAGGGCGGGCGCTGAAAGCTGGGGCGCTTCATCCCAACGGCAGCACCTTTGGGGAGGGACACCTCCATGTCCATGGGAGCCGAGGCCCATGAGAAAGGAGAGGCAAGGGCATTCGTTTACTTGTACTGAAGACATGAAGTCACGGGTACAGGGGAAAGAATTTGAGACTCAGATCGGAGACTTGGCCTGCTTTAGGCCCAGCTCACTAGTTTGCCGTCTCTTGGCCTCATCTGTAAAACAGGGCTGGAGAAAGGCCCCTGGGAGCTCCGGTTCTAAGTGGACAGTGCCAGGAAGCAATCGGCACTACTGTGGAGCCAAGGAGAGGCCTTCAGGACAGCCAGGGCTTTGGGTGGAGCGGGAAGGAGGGCCTGGGAGAGCGAGCTTCCTGACATCTGCCTACCAATCATTTTGTAGAAAACATTCTCCAGGTTTTCCATGTCCTTGACTTTGAACACATGTTGCTCTTGATCTTTCTTGGAAGCCAAAGCATTGATGTTCTCTTGGTTCACCAGAGGCCCAACCCCAAACACGTAGACGTCTGAGGGAGACAAGGGAGGGTGAGGGTCCACGCCCAGGAAGGGCAGGAGCTGGGAGAGCAGGCGGCTGGACCCTGGGCAATGGAACTCACCCAGGTAGTCTTCCCTTGGGTGTTTGCGATCTCTACCAATGTCCAGCAAAGACCGGATGTCCTGGATGACAGGGACTGGGTCTCCGCCCATGTTGTGCTGGCCTACGGAAGAGACGAACCGTGAGGGGTGTCAAGGAGGGTCCAGACAGATTGCTCACAGCGTGGCACGTGGCTGGGTAGGCAGGTTTGGAAGTGACAGATCACAGAGTCCCTCCTTGTAAAATGTCACAGAAAAGATCAACATGGTTCCGGCCTGTTGCTGCCTGGGGCCCCAACCATGAGTCTAATGTTACATGTGGACTGAAGGGCCACACACGAGGGAGAGGGTGGGGAGTCGGGCAGGAGCGAGCCCTTCTGACCGTCAGTCATGAGGATGATGACGTGGCGGGTGCGGTTCCAGCCCTCGGGAGGGGTGTCCCCCGCCCAGCCCATCATGTTGTACACCGCCAGGAGGGCCTTCTTGGTGTTCGTCCCCGTCTTCAGTTTGTGATCTGTGGGCAGGAGAGAGGTTGCCACCTCCCAGTCTTCCAAGCCACCCTTCAACCCCGAGGCCTGTCACGACATCCCACGTGGTTCAACTTTTTTAGTTGATTGTCATCCCACTGACTTCCCTTTGCAAAGTGACTCTCTCAGCCCCTAACAGGTTCCCACTAACCTCTGTTCTCCGCGGACCCTGCTGTCAACCATGCCCTACACAGTGGTCCTCCCTGTCCCCAGGCGGTCTCACACAGCACCCCTGAACCTTGACCTCTCTGACCCCAAAGGGAGTGAACTTCCCACCATCCCCTCCTACCACTCCACTGACTTCTGACCTTCGTAGCTGATTTTGTCCAGTTTCTCTGTGACCCAGGCGGCATTGCTGCTCTCTGCATCGGACACTCTAATCAAAATGTTGGTGTCGGTGGCATAGGTCACCAGAGCGTATTTTGGATTCACCCCGTAACTTGCCACCTGAGGGAATCAAGGGTAATAGCATTGCAAGGAGAATACTTAGCTGGGACGGGAAAGGTCCTGGTAAGAGACTCAAGGGCCGACTGGTCACTGGGGTTTTTAGGGGCGTCTGTGTTACCAGTGAAGAAACTGCCTCAAGTGAAGGGGACGGAGGACGGGCTAGGACCTGAGGATTTTCCGAAACCCTGGGGCTCAGAGGGGCTGCCAACCAGGAAGCTAGTCCTGTGAGGGCCGTTCCGGGTCCCCGCATTGAAGGAGGGGCTCCACCTTCTCAATGAAGGCTTTCAGGCAGTTCTTGGCGCCGGTGAAGTTGCGCGCCCCGATGCTGTCGGATCCATCCAGAACCAGGTAGATGTTCATGGAGCCCGAGGGGTCCAGGATAATCCTCCTCTTCTGTTGTTCCCCTGCGCGCCCCACAGACACTCAGACTCCCTGTCCCCCAACCCCCCCGCCCTCCCGACTCCCGCCCCGCCTCCCACTCCGCCTCCGCACCTGGGCTGTGCCCATCCTCAGCCTCCGCGCCCTCTATCCTCTCTGTCAGGGAAGACAGGAAGGCTTCTGCCACCTCCGCAGGGGTGTCGTACATGAAGGAGTCTGGGGGAGGTCGGAAAGCAGGTCGGATGTCAGGGAGGGCCCGCAGCACGGGCCAGACGCGGGCGGCGGGTTTCCAGAGTGGGAAGGGCTCAGCGGTAAGTTGTACAGGGAGGTTTGGCACAGAAGGAGGCAGTGCCCTGGCACGGGGACTTGAGGCCGAGAGCCAGACCTGACCTGAGGGCGGGCATGGGTCAAGGGTCACCTTGGCAAGAAGGCTCTGTTCCACTCCAAGAGCCACCTTCCTGGCAGGTTCGCCGCTGGGAGCCGCGCAGGGTGAGTCCCCGGCTGCAATAGTAGGTGACGCTGTCTTCAAGGCGGTACTGGCTGCCCACCTTCCTTGTGCCAATGGGGATGCCTGGGTTGGGGCAGTACCCCGCTGCAGAGGCATGAGACCACGAGTGAGGCCCGAGGCCCGGCGGGCAAGGCAGCGCCCAGGAGTGACCTGGGTTCCTCGGGCTGTGGCACTGGCAGGGACAGGCCACCGTGGGGGAGCTATCTTCTCACCTCCATTGTCACAGATGGCTGTTTGCCCATCCCACCGACCAGTCACTTGGCAGGTGCGATTGGCAGAGCCCCGGAGAGTGTAGCCATCATAACACTGGAACGAGATCTCGTCACTCAGATTGTAGTAGGCAGCCCGGGGCCAGTACTCCCCGTTCTCAAAGTCCTGGGGTCGTGGACAGCGGATCGCTGGGGAGGGACAAGCAGAAGTCACTGCGTGGGGCGGGCTGCCCTTGGGAGCCTCCCTCCCGGCCTCAAGGCCCCTGTCACTGAGAGCGAGCACCTCTCGGTCCCACAGGAGCAGCGTCTCACCCCCCCCACCCCCCCTGGAGGCCCCTCAGCCACCGGGAGGCCCACCGCCCTTCCCGCCCACTCCTGAGTGCTCTGTCCGCTGCAGGGCCGCCTGGTTCCCTCCTCCTCCCTCCTTCCGCCTTCCCCCCTCCAGCCCGGGACAGCTCCTACACCTGCTCAGCCCAACTTTCAGCCTGCCTGGCCTCACACACGCATCAGCCTCGGCCGCCCTGCTCCAACTCTCTGCTGGCCGTGCCCACCCCCCCTGCCCTCCAACCTCTGCATTCTGCCTTCTTGACAATCTTTTGGTCTTTGGTCTGCAGGGCGCTCCAGGACCCCGTGGATCTGCAGGTGCGAGCTTGCACGGGGTATGGGTAGAAGCCAGCGGGACACACGTACTCCAGTGCCTGGCCCTCCTTGAGAAGCTGGAAGGAGCCGCCTTTGATCTCTACTCCCTCCAGAGAGCAGGGTCTTTGGGGCTCAGCCACGGACACTGGCGTGGTGCCCACACCTAAAAAGACAGGCTGGTAAAGCCTGGCCTGCCAGGCCCAGGAGGGATGCTGGGCAGCAGGAGGGGGCAGTGACCCTGGCTTACCTCCAGGCAAGAGGCCCAGGACCAGGGCTACGAGGCAGAGCCAGGGGCAGGGGCTGCTCCGCGGGGCCCCGGAAGGCGGGCCAGGGGCTGGCGCCGGAGG